GCAGCCCGGCAATGACCAGTGACATGATTCACCACAATTTATTATTATAAATTGTTATTAATTATTGGAAATACAGCTAAACTAATTTGTAAATTTGTAGTATTTGCCAACTTAACTTTTCGTCATATTTATATTGATAATAATAATCGTATAGTTCTTATTAATATAATTCAGATTCTTGTTACTGTGGTTTTAAACCCAAACTCGCTACAGTAAAACAGTCTATAGGAAACCTGACTTAGCATTTATACGTGCACTCCCAAATTCATACAATACAAGCCCAACCTATTGTAAGACTGCATGAGCCTGAGGCCTACTTCACCGTGGATACAGATGCCGAACTCGCCCCGACTTGGCTGCACAACGACACACTGGTGAACTCTCAATGGCAGAGCTTCCCGATCAAGGTTGTGCACCCTCTCCAAGTGCCGTGCCACTTGCAGGGCTACGGCGTCGTGCTCCAACAGGCAGGCCCGCTCCTCCAGCCAATCCCGGCTGCCCTTCGCAACGGGGTTTTTCTCACGGTCAGTAACCTCAAGGCCTTGCAGGCTGCTTTCCAGATCCCAATGGGCCCAAAGGGCAGCGGAGCCGGTAAATCCGGCAACTTCATCAAGCAGGACTACGTCAGCCGTGTGCTGACGTTTTTTTTCGGTGAATCCCTTGAGCCTGACGAACGAGCTCGTATGACCGCCTTCCTCATGGGGAGATCCTCACAGCGGCAGGGGACGAGCAGCAATCATGCTGCCCAAATCCTTGCCGCTTTCCAAAGCTTGAACCCGGAGGACAAACCGCAGTTCACGGAGCTTGCAGCTGTTGCAGCAGACGAGGAGAAGCTCAAGGCCGCTCGTTCAGAGCGTACGGACACGCGAGCAGTTCACGCGAGTCCAGCACACCAGACGCCGGCCGTTCTTGGCCGGCTCCTGCCCTACGGAGCCGGCTTTTCCTGCAGGTTCAATCGGCACCCGGTGGAGCTCAGATACCAGTGTTACCTTTGCCACACCGACTCTGGATTCTTGTCGTGATGTACACACGCTCATTTGTTTCTTTTTGTTTACTGGGGTCTGTCGGTGGTTAGTCTAGTCTTAGTCTAGTTACGGGGTCAGGTCAAACTAAACTGAATGAACCGGTCACTGCCTCTTGATTGGTTGATTATCTGTCGTAGGTCTGCCTGTCGTACCTCACTGGTCTGACGTCCCCCTACCTGCCCGATTTAACTTAAGTTCTGAGCAAGCCTGCCAGGCAAGCCCTGCAACTAGTCCGACTCGAACTCTGAATCGAATTTATTAGTGAGTGCATACGCACAGACAGGGGCTCAATAAATCATATGATTACCTTTCCAATTTCCCCATTTCAATTTTTTCGGTCACTATAGATGAGTAGTCTCATTAGTGTCTAGGGCTGCGGGCTGGCCCGCAGCGGTTCACCGACGGAGTTTATTATTATTACTAGTCATTCATCAATCAGTCAATACATTCATGGCTTATTGATTATGTTATGCCCGCCGTCGTCGTCGTCGTCGTCCTGTAATGTAATACACCATAATTTTGTTCATCAGTACTATTGACTATGGGGATGGAATTATCATTCATTATACAATTATTTCGTACCCTAAACCTTCCCTGGACTCTGCCTCTCAGAGTCAAACTCAAAGGACGCCAAGAATCTCACGCAGCGAAGTGGCACGGCGTCCGCCGCGGGCTGACCGAACTGGCGGCCTTGAAGGAATGTGTGGACTGGTGCTGGCAATCGGTTCGCAAGAGCTACAGCCTTGACAGTTTGCAGAAGGAGCCAGGGGCTTAGCAGCAAGTTAAACGCAGGAACCGTCCTGAGATTTGTTTATTGGGATTTGAAATGTAGTGACTTGAGCTGTAGGCCGCCGGCTATGACAGGTGAATCTTTACGGGTTCTTTAATTTGAGTCTTGTGACTGTGGGCGATTCACCGTCCTTGGGGGAGCCTTTAACTAATTTAAACCCCTTAAAGCCTTGACCTTAGCCCTTAAGTTCAAAAATTTTAGCCAAAGCTCTCCCAATAATTAAACTTAGACCTTAGGCTAATAATAAGGTGGCCTTGTTAATGGAATAAACATATGTCTACAATCAAGGCCGATGCTGGCGGACATGGAGAAAGTCGTGGCTGGCTTTGACAAGAACACAGGATTCATTACTCCCCCAGCTGCGGCAGCTACTTCAAGGCCTACCACCCCAAATCGTGCCACACCGAAGCGCATCCCTTCAATGGCTGATACTCCTGATGCCAGTCCGGGTGCTCCCAGTGGCTCCATGCGTCGGCCAAGTCCAGGAGGCAGGGCTGCAGCGCGCGGCCGCGGTGGCGGACGTGGCCGAAAGCGATCCCACGACAGTTTGTGAGCAATCGTCAAATGAATCGTGCTTGAACTTTACGTGAATGGATACAGCCTCGCACCCTGACTGCGTGTATGCCCCGACCTGAGACTCCCTAGACGCAATTATTGACTGGCCCTACTAAGTTACCAGTTACTACAGTCCTACAATGCCTAATCTTTAAGCCCTCGGCCCTCGGCTCAACACGCAGTGCTGGCTATGTGTGGCTGTGCCAATTAGCTTTGATGCAGTGCTGCTGCAAGCAATCCTGTGTAAAAGATGTGCGGCGGTCGACGAGGCGCGAGCTGTTGTGGCCCTCCGAGTCCCTGGGCTTAGGGATTCGGTTGCAGGTTTTGGGTCTTGCCGGCTTGACTCGGGTCTGAGGGTTTATTGCACTCAGGGGTTTCACAACCCTTACCACTCAGGGGGTTCAGAGTTTAGGGGGCCCGCTCATAAGGGGCCCACAGGGTCCTCCTGATATAGGGGCTCAGACAGCAACCCTAAACCCTAAACCCTAAACCCTAAACTAAGAACCAATCCGCAGGTGAACCCTATTATGTCACTTTGAAATTCACGTAGGTACCATGTCGGGAGTTTCCGACACCAGGGGCCCCCAATATAGTATATACCCTAAATAGAAGGACCCCTATTATAAGGATCCCAAAATAAGGTACCCCGAATTTTTACCTCATTATAAGGATCCCCAAATAAGGTGCCCGTAATTTTTACCTTATTATCAGGATCCCAAAATAAGCTACCCCCCTTATTATTTTTCCGAAACTCCCATGCACCTGTCAGGGAAGGCGGCAGTAGGGGCCTCGATCTGGTGGACATGACCGATGAAACGGTATAGATGGGATAAATTACCCTAAGTGTCCATGTGCTCATATAGTTAAGGGTCCTTTAAGGGATCCTTTAAGGGACCTATAAGGGTTCGATAAGGGTTTAGGGTATAAGGGTCCATGTACTCATATAGTATATACATTGGCCTTAATGTAATCCCTATATAGGTACTTTGGGGCTCATGTATCTCTATATGGGTACATGGACCCTTCGGGTTACACTTAAAAAGCCCAAATGGGAAGGTGCTTGGCTTGCCAGACATGATTTTAAGATTCTAGCCGTGGCATCACCGATACTCGGGCTCGCGGGGCTTTCGGGTTTCGGTCAGGTTTAGGGTTGGGCCTTTGCGGGCTTAACTCGGGTATTTGAGGGGGGCTTCGGGTCGAAGGTTTAGGCTCTACGGAATATAGGGATGAAGGGTTGCCCGGAGAACCCCCTAAGGGTCCATGTACTCATATAGAGATACATGAGCCCCAAAGTACCTATATAGGGATTACATTAAGGCCAACGTATATACTATATGAGTACCTGAACCCTTAGGGCTACATAAACTTTATACACGTCAGGAGCATCCTCGGCCTTTACACCTCTAAACACCCAGCCCCACCAGCCTGAAGATATGGCCATGTAAGCCCAGACCTTTATTAGGCAATTTTCGAAATCTGGAAGCCCTATAACATCTTGTAAAGTCGTTAAAAGTCCCAAGGCATGCGGTACCTTAACCCTGAAGAACCTACCTTCTTAAGGACTTGTATAAGGACATCTTAGTAGGGATTCCTAAAAACGTAGGTTATTCAGGGTTAAGGTAGAACCCTATACTTGGAGGGTCGGGGGCTTAGTAACTGGTTATTTTTGGGACTTATAAGTACCATAACCCCAATGAGGGCCCCTTTTAGTGTACTTATTAGTCTACTTACCACCTACTTACTAAGTCCCCGGACCCTCCAAGTATAAAGCCCCCTTTCGCCCGCCAACCCCCACCACTACCTCCAAGCTCCAAGCGGCCTTGACCCTCGATGCCCTCCTCGTATGGGTGGTTGTGAAAATTAGAGTCCCTTTTGGGTATATACCCTAAACTTAGGGGTGCTTAGAAATAGTCTTTAATTTTTAGTTATTATAATCCCTAAGAAACAGCTAAAATTGTATTTTTTGCTAGGGTTCTAAGTTCAGTACAGTAAATAGTAGGTGCCGTATTATAATAGGGACCCAAAGAGGGACCATAATTTTGACAACCACCCAACAAGGGACCATAATTTTGACAACCACCCGTATGGCTGTGGCATTCGGGTTTGTGGAGCTTGCAAGCTTGAGGGTTTGCTCCTGTTTAGCGCCAAACGACCCTGAAGCGCAACATCCTCCACGGCTAAACCCTTCCTTACACGGTGATGCACTTTTACACAGGGAGAGAGAGAGAGAGAGAGAGAGAGAGAGAGAGAGAGAGAGAGAGAGAGAGAGAGAGAGAGAGTCGAACACCTCTCCACCCCTCAGAACGCCGAGAGAGAACGCCGAGATAGCCCTGGTGCAGCCCCTCCAAACCCCAGATGAGTCGTATGACCCCCTACAGCAAAAGCCAGAAAGTTGGAACATCCATATCCTCATACCCTTTGAGAACGAAGGGAAATCCAGCACGCATCAACCGGAACTCACGTTCCCATGTCTGGGCTTCTGTTACACGAAGTCGGTATACCCTAAACCCTACCTAGACCCCCCCAACTTTTTTTTGTTGTCCCTAACTACCTCTTACTGAGAAAATAGAGCCCTTTAAAGGGTGCTGGTTGAGCTTACGCCATGAACCTTAAACTGTCGCCTCCGAAAGGCGGTGGGTGAGCCGTCGCAGTGCTTTTGCACTTTGCCCTCGCCTCGGATTTTTCCCGGGGTTTCAGGATCAAGAAATCCAAACCCTAAACCCTACCTGGACCCTAAGAAAGCTACCTTGCTAGGGCTCCTTATTACGATTTCCTCATATAAGTCCTCACAAAAGGTAGGCTATTTGGTGTGAAGGTGCTTTAATCTCGAAGAACCTTTCTGTTCAGGCTTCCTTTTTGAGTGTTCCTTCTGGGTCCCTAAAAAGGGCAGTTTTTACCGGGTCCAGGTCCAAGTAGACCCTAAGCCCGAAACACTATGGGCCCTACACTCTGAACCTTACGTTCAGGCTGCAGTATGATGGGAGTTTCAGAAAGTGCCGGATCCCTCAATAGAAATAGAACAGAGCTGAATACAACAGAACAGAATAGGATAGAATCCCACATCCTACAATCGAAGAGAATAGAGTAGATTGAATATTATGACTAGAATGGATTTGCTTGTGGAGTTTTGAATAGTCGTTAATAGTCGCCACTTGCAGTGCCTTGATAAAACTGCAGAGAGTGACAAGCCCTAGACAAGATTGCAAAATGACTGTTTGCTGCGTAAGTTAGCTTGGACTAGGTTTTCTTGCTGCGGTTTCTGTGCATAGTGGTCGGCTGGGGCTTTCGTGAGTGTCAAGCCATGGCCAGTGAAGACATGGTCATAGAGTGACTCGGGCATCACACTGCTTCGGCGCCCATGAATCCGAAACTATGGCAAGCAACGTCGCCTACGCTCGGAAACCCCTTAATCGTTCATTGCCTCCAGAGGCTCAGTCATCAAGTTCAGAAACTTACAGTATGAGTATGAGTGGCTTCTGCTCTGGACGATGAGTAAGTCCTCAGAATCCCTGCCCTGCACCGTCCAAATCTTTCCAGACACTCTACTTAATAGCCAGTTCCCATACTTCGTTAGAAGGTTTATTTATGCGGGGTGGAGGGGGAGGGGGTCTATCATCCCATGTCGCCGGTAAAACCTGCAATGCCCTGTAAAAGCCTGTCTGCAAAGCGTGAAATCCTCTGGCACTCATGATGACTCATGGGTCCCCAGAGACTCCGATATCCCTTAATTATTTAATTAAGGAATATATACACCTTGAATCATATTAGGGGTCCTACTATAATTTAAGGTATCTTCCTTAAATGAAGGATATTCGAATCCCCTAAACCCTAAAACCCTATAGATCCCTTAAAGGATCCCTTAAAGTAGCCCTAGGTATTCCTTCATCACCCCAAGGGTCCAAGTACCTGATAATCATATACTCTCCAAAATCCTAACCTACGTAACTACTATCCCAAAACCGAGTACCTGATTATTGGGTCCTTTGGACCCTTGGGGTCAAGGGATATTGGAGTCTCTGGGGCACTGTGGAGTCTGCAGAGGCTTTGAGGCATCGATGCCGCGACCAGGACATGGTCAGAAGGGTTTAGGGTTCAGGGTTTAGGGTTTAGGGGTTTAGGGTTCAGGGTTTAGGGTTTAGGGGTTCAGGGTTTAGGGTTTAGGCTTTACTTAGGGGTACTTGGAAATAATTGTTAATTTTTGGTTATTATAATCCCTAAGAAACAGCTAAACTTATAATTTGTGCTAGGGTTCTAAGTTCAGTATAGTTTAGGGTTTAGGGTTCAGGGTTTGTTGTTTAAGCTTTAGGCTTTAGGGTTTTATGGAAAGTGGATGTGGGTGATTGCGAAAATTAGGGTCCCTATTTGGGTCCTCATTATTATCACTTTTTATATTTCCCCCTTTTTGGGTCCTTATTATGATACGGCACCTTTTATTTAGGGTACCCAAACCGGGGCCATAATTTTGACAACCACCCATGTGTGCTTGAGGGTCGAGAGATTTAGGTTCAGGGTTTAGGATTTAGGGTCGAGGGATTTAGGGTTTAGTAGGGTTTAGGGTTCAGGGTTTAGAATTTTAGGGTCCAGGGATTTATGGTGAGCTACAGTCTAACGCTGCTGTAGTAAGAGCCCCAGTGTGGACCCCTGTACCAGAAAAGAGTGTTGGTTTCGCTAGGTGTCAAGGCCCCCCACTTTCGTAGTTCTGGTTCCCAACAGAACCCCAACTTCTAAGCCCAGAAACCTGCAGAAAGCCCGGAAGGCGAACTTGATGGCGCCACCCTAAAAGCTTACGCTGCCAGAACCTACGTCCCTTGAGGATTTTAGGAAAGCCCTTTATTAGCCTTTGTCTCCTAGTTTCAAAGAGGTTGGTTCTGAATAGCAGTAAAGGCGGGTTCAACGGCGCAGCCTTACGGCCATCGCAGGAAGCGGTAGTCCTCGAACTGAAGGGTGCGTACGGACGAAGATGGTGTTGCCTGATCCCTCAGAGTCGCGCAGGTCCGCCCAAAAGATGATATAGCAAAGACAGTTTATTTCTATGGAACTCTCAAATCAGTGCTTGCATATTAGAGAGCTTTAGTGTAGCTGCGTAGCGATCATGTCTTGTAGCAGAGGATATGAGCTCGTGGGTTTTAAGTTAAGGTTTTGGTGAGTTTTTTGGCGCCATAGAGTGCAAACCTGTGGTTGCAGGGCTTGTTGGCTTTGGAATTGAGCTTTCGTTCGATGTGTTCCTGTACTACAAAGCAGTTGCATCTATGAGAACCTGGACCCCTAATCACCTACCTGGACCTACCTCTTTAAGGACTTATTTCAGGAAATCATACTATCGGGAACCGTACAAAAGAAGGTTTTACAGGTTCAGGAATGGCCTAAAGTAGAGTACGCCAACAACAGAACGACGTCGCCTTCCAGACCGAGGTGGAAGGGCACCCGTACACAACAAGTAGAGCAAAAAGGGTCTCGTTCTGTGCTTCACTATGGAAAACATAGCAGTCAGCACTGTAATCATCAGAAGGTGTCTCTTACTTTGATCCCAAAGCCCTATTGTTGGGAGCCCCGACACTCTAAGCCCTGAGCCCTAAGCACCTATTCTTGCACACCTCGACTCTCTAAACCCTGAACCCCGAATCTTGTAAGCTCGAAACTCGCAAAAACGAGTACAAGGATGATTTGCAGTTGTATGCCCTTACAGTTCCCATAAGACTAGTTCTTGTCATGCACATCCAAAACTCGATCATAATTCCTAACGTTCTACGCCCTAATCCCTCCAACCTGCACCTCTGGGGTCGACACGGCATCCGACTGCGAGCGGTGACGACGGCTGCGCCGCATGCGGAGATCGGAGACAACAGGCCAAGGTTTGAGGTCTTAGTCTTGAAATAATGGTCTCAGGTCCGGGGTTTAGGGGGTTTGGGGTTTTGGTATTGGCTAACCCTTGAATCAAGTACCAATTTGTGTTGCATGACAACGAAAATCGGCTCAGGCAACCCTGAACCCTAAACCTTTCACCCTAAGTCCTAAGACCATCCAAGAGACTCTAAGACCCGAAGACTCTAAGACCCGGTCTCACAAAGGTCACTGTTAGGAGGTTTGGTGGTTCCTGGGCTCCCGGCCCTGTCGTTAAGGGTCTAGGACTAGGATTCGGGGTTTAGGTTTTGGGCTTAGGGGTTCGTGTCTTATGGCATAGATGTATACATCGCGGTTCCTTGGTGTGCGTTTTTTGGGTGGGACTCTTCAGCAAGACCCTGTAGCTGTTGAAGCGGACTGTAGATGTTATTCCGGACTGGCGTAAATGACAACGGCTTCGATGCGGCGCCAGTGATCGCAATCAGCTCATAGCAAGTTTCCGAATCCGGGAGTTTCCGAAAGTTAGGGCTACCGTACTCTGGGGTCCTTATAATAAGGATCCTACTATATTAGGGTACTACATTAGGGTCCCCCATTTTCCGAAACTCCCATCTGTGTCACTCATAGAAGAAGCTGCCGCGGCAGCTTATCATCGACCAAAGCAGAGAAGTGGCCCCAAACCCTCAACCCACAAACATTTACAAATACGGTTCCTTTAAAGGGATCCTATAAGGGTGCTATGATATAGAAGCCTAAATAATTGCCAACATTCTTCCTTAGGGTTCCTTCTCAAAACTATCACCATACTATTATAAAGGAGCCCGAAACCCTATTCTAATTCTTGAGGCCCCTACCTTAGATAACCTGTGGCCCTAGCCCAAAACCGGGCTCTGGCCAACAGCAGTGACCTTTGCTCACCCGGCCTCCATTCTTCTAGAGGCTAAACCCCATATATATATATATATATATATATATATCCTGAACCCTGAGACTTCATAGGACTAAAAGACTTTGGGCTTTTGGTGGATCATGACCCTAGCTTAGCCAGACTAGCTAGTTGATCGCAATGATCTTGCCGTCCAGCAATGTAACAAGGCTAGGCCTTAACGTGTCCAAGCCTTGCGAGTCCGGTTCTCTTGTGCAGCGTCACGTGGGGCCTGTCTGTGTTGTTGGGTTCAGGTTTTGAACTACCTGGACTGCAAAGGTATGTAGAATAATAGCCTTTTTATAGGTTTTGGGCCACTATTTTACCTACTTGGGGGGTCTAGGTAGGGGTTTAGGTCTGGAATTTGGAATTCTTCCCTAAACCCTAAACCCTGAACCCCCTCTTCCCTAAAGCGTAGCAGTGACATCGTCACCTGGCCTCCCGTCCGACATGGAAAAAGAGGCGCACAAGCCAACCAAGAGCAACAGCAACACTCCGTGGCCATTGGTATTACATCCAAGAGTACCCCGATGCCTCCAAAAGTAGACACCCGAGGAGAACTCTACCTATAGTCTCCATTGTAGATCCTTTTTTTGGTTAACCAAAAACTCTTTTATAGGATCCTAACCATAAAACTGGTTAACCCCAAAAAGGAACTACAACGGAGACTATAGGTAGTACAGCCGGAAGGACTGAAAGCCAAAGCATTGGAACTCCGATCTCCCTCAGCACTAAGGCTTGGACAAACTTAAATATGTAGGGGCCTTTTGTCACTACCTATACTATTTGGGGGGGGTCCCTTATTGTAGCTACAGTATATATTGGGCCCCAAACCCCTATTCTAATTATTAAGGCCCCTACATTAGGCTAAACCCTACATGCTCAGTCCTCATCCTAGTTGGGTCCCTCTGGCTTTGGGCACCATGCTGCTTCTCGCCTTGGGTGCAAAGACCGTGGCTGGGTGGCCAAAGTCTAACAGCCATATACCTACAGGTCTCTCTGGTCTGCAGGGATGACGAGGCGGTTTATGGGCAGCTGGGTCGTTCGGATTTGTTCGCCTGTACTGTTTCGTTAACTACTATGACTATGAATGATTGCGGAGATTCAGAGAACGGGGGAGCCTATTACTATTGCTGACCCTAAATGGCGGAGCATAGTTTCGGGAGAAGCCTATACCTCGGGCCTGACATGACAACGTCTGAATCTCCGGGATTTCGACTCAATGTGCGTTCGCTAGACATGGATAGGTAGCCAGTTAGATAGATCGACACGTACTACAGCTAGATAGATAGGTAGATAGATGCTACAGCGCAAGGAATTCTAAGGGACCCTAGTATGATTATTAAGGCTCCTTTATGCTATTGGTCGTGGTGTCCCAAAGAAGATAGTTGACGAAGTGCGTCCTTGGCCCACGGCGAGATGCGATGTACTGCGCTGTAGCACACGTGGATCGTGGTGTCTCCAAAGGCGTAGGGTTCAGGGGTTTAGTGACCTACAGTTCAAGGTTCAGTGAGCATAGTATATGCACGGGATTTTTGGTTATACGCCGCCCCGAAGCTCACTTTTCAATGATTCTCATTTTCTGGGCTTCTTATGAAGGCCCCAATCCCTAAAGGGTCCATGTACCCATACAGGGATACATGAGCCCCAAAGTACCCATATAGGGACTACAATAAGGCCAATGTATATACTACGGGAATATTACTCTAAACCCTAAACCCTAAATCCTTAAACCCTAAACCCTAAACCCTAAACTGTGACCCAAAATTCTCGGCATGGAGGCAGGGCTCCGGTCCTGAGGAGTTTCGGATTCTGGCACTACCTTTCGGGCGGAGGGGATAAGGATTTAGGGGTTAAGGAGTTAGGGGTTTAGGATTATAGGGGTTAAGGAGTTAGGGGTTTAGGACTATAGGGGTTAAGGATTTAGGGGTTTAGGGATTTAGGGGTTAAGGATTTAGGGGTTTAGGGATTTAGGGGTTTAGGATTATAGGGGTTAAGGATTTAGGGGTTAAGGATTTAGGGGTTAAGGATTTAGGTGTTTAAAATTTGGGGGTTAAGCATTTAGGGGTTTAGGGTTTAGGAATTTTTTAACCCTCAGCCCGAAGACTACGACCAGGACCCTCTGTCCCTCGAATTGATGTTTATCTATGGCCCCAAATAATGTGCATCTAGGGTCGAACAGAGGGTAAACGGCGGGTCCAGGTATGTCGTCTCTTTGCTACTTAACCCTAAGGGTCCATGTACCCATATAGCATATACTTTGGGCCCAATGTACCTATATA